GCCTTGAGTACATATACTATCAACTAGGCATGAGGAACACACTTGACAGCAGTTACTAGATACTAATAAACTCTGAATTTCTAAATTAGATTTTTTACACGCAGATATAGAGATCTAAGTATCCTTATGATTATTTAATAATAAAGAAATTAAAATTCTTCTGCTCCATAGAAGCAGTACTAATATCTCCTGTAAAGTGGATCTTAAAAACATAAGAGGCAGAAACCTTGTATCTATTTGATTAAATGCTTTTTTTGCAATGGAGGGCAGAAGAAGAAGGTTTCTGGAAGAGAATCAGAACTCAACAATAAGGAAGTGGCTAGTCAGATCAACAATTTCAGCATTGGACTTTGGGGGCGCCTGGGTGGTGTCAGTTATAGTGTCCAATCTCAGTTCAGGTCTTGATCTTGCAGTTTGAGTTTTAAGCCCCGCTTACGGAGCTCTTTACTGACAGCTCAAAAGAGTGGGGTACCTGCCCTGGATTCTGGGTCTCATACTCTGTCTGCCCCTCCTCCTAGTGCTCTGTCTCTTGCTCACTCTCAAAATAAATAAACATTTGTTCTTTCTTTGCTTTCCTGGTTTGTTGAGTTTCTTCCTCGCACTTTTTTCTGGGCTGTATCGTTCTTTCAGGCTACTTTGCAGCAAGTTAGTCTTAGAGAATCACTGCCACTGGAATCAAAAAGAACAATGATTAATCTGCAACTAGGCTTTCAATGCATTAAAATATGCCACCCATCTTGAGACAGCCTCAGATGACAGTGAAGAGAATTCCCAGAACTCAACTGCCTCTAAAACTATCTCTGAGGTAACCAAGAACCTTAGTAAATTGACTTCCCTCGACCCTAGTATCAGAATTCCTTCCCTCCCCGGAATATCCACCCCAACAGCAGGACAGCGAGAAGAAGAAACCACAGGGCTTGTGGACCAAATACTCAGCAACAGGAGGAGGGGTGGAATAAGGACTTTATTAGCTGCTCGGAAAGAAAGAACGGGAAAGGCTGATGTGGTTTATTAAAAACCATACTAGCCAACATTCCACGGATGAATCAAAATTGGAAAAGATTTGTATATGTCACTATCGCCTGTATCATAGAATCGCCTGAGGGATACCAGCATGGAGAAATATTATGACATGGGTTGATGTAAACATAAACCTTATGATGCTGTTTTTTTTTTCTTTGCTTTAGTAATTTTTAGGATCAGTATGCAGCAACAGGAAAGCTGCTCTGTTAGAACAAACTGTGTAATAGTTTGATAATCTATGATATAAACTCTGTTTTGTCTTCTGCCTTGATATGATAATTTAGCAGAATCCTGTAGCTTGCATTGAACGACTTCAATATACTTTAGTTCCACTTTTTGATATGACCCATGGGAAGCACTAGTAGGTTTTGAGTGTTGCCTGTGTGTTTGAGAAACTGAAGTCATGAATGGGTTAACCTAACACGGGGCTCCTGCATTGGCTCAGTTAGGTTAAGCATCAATAGAAGCTCTAACAGAATAGGGCTCTGTGCTTTGGCAACTAGAACCTGGAATACCCTGAATTGTGTGTGTGTGTGTGTGTGTGTGTGTGTGTGTGTGTGTGTGTGTGTGTGTCTGCCCCACCCCCCACTCACGCTCTCTAAAAAATAAAAAAAAAAAAGCATTAAAAAAAAAAAAAAAAACAACCTCTAACATCAAATTGACCAAGTAACTTGTGCAGGGAGGAATATAAATAGAGAATACTGGGTTAGTTTGGCTAGAGCATAATTATAATTTATTACTTTTGTGTATTTGTTTTTCTTCCATGGCCTCCTTTGCCAGCTCTCTTTTACCTTCCTGACCTGGGCCCTCTCCTCTTCCCTATCACCCCAAGTGATTTATTTGGTCCTGTAGTTTAAAATACTAGCCTGAATTTGTTTTTTAATTTTTAATGTTTATTTTTTGAGAGAGGGAAGGTGTATGAGTGGAGTGCAGGCAGAGAGAGGTGACATAGATCTGAAGCAGTCCTCCAGCAAACTCTAAGCTGTCCAGCACAGACAACAACTGATCTTGAGGGCTCTCGAAGAGACTCAGGAAGCTGGCGAGATCATGACCTGACAGGCACGAGTGGGACCTTAACCAATGTAGCCACCCAGGCGCCCCTAAAATACTAACCTGTGGTGCATTTGTCTGGTCCTGCACTGCTCTCTAGATCATGTCCCCACCACATTTGGATGATTGTAAGCATCTCAAATTTAACATGTCCCTTCCATCCCCCTTCTTGTCATAAACCTATTCCCAAACCTTCCCTCTCCCAGTACTTGTGGCACAACCCTCCACTAGTTACTAAATCCAAGCACGATCATCCCTTGACTCTTCTCATTTTCCTTACTCTTCACATCTAATCAGGACCCAGTTACAACCAAATATATTTAGTATCACCGCGGCTTTCTCCCTTGTTTTACCCTGGCCAGGCAAATCATCTCTCATTTGAACTACTGCCTGCCGGACTCCTAGCTTCCCCACCTCTTTCCATTTTTATTCTTGTCCCTTCTAGTTCTCATCCTTCATGAAGGCTTGAGCAGGTCCTTATAAATCTTCTCCCTCTTGAAATTGGCCAGGACTTCCTAAACAAAGAATTTAAATCCAAATTCATTTCTTCTACTCAAAATATATATAATCTGGACCGTTATGTTCCTACCTCATTTCATGTTGCTCTATTCAGGTATGCTGTGCTTTGGAATACTCAAATGGGCACACATTAACTCTCATACTGTGTGCTTTGTTTCCATTCCATAATATTTACCTGTTTTATTCTTTTCTGTTTCGTTTACTCCTTTTTCTCTATCAGGTCCCCAACTAAATACATTTGTCTTATTTCCCTGTTTTTCTCCAAAGCCTGGTAAAGGGAACTAACACAAGATTTTTAGATTTTACGTTTCTGATTGGATGAATGAACAGATACAATAATAGATGTCATTGCAGAATAATCTTCCCATGCAAAGAGAAAGTAAGTGCTGAGATAACGATGGATTAAATTCCCAAATGGCAATTCTAGATTAGTTGGACACTCAACCGACTGAGCCACCCAGGCGCCCCTGTAGTTTCTAAAGTATAGTCAGTTTACTGGTTCATGTACCTCCTATCCTTTTGATGTGGTTATACACAGGTGTGCATGCCCAAATACACATACACACACTCTTTCATCCTTAGTGATCCTGTGACAGTGAGAATTTTTGTTCTCATTTTGTAGATCATAAAATCAAGATCTAGGGTTGCCTGGCTGGCTCAGTTGGTAGAGCATGTGACTCTTGATCTTGATGTTATGAGTTCAAGGCCCATGTTGGGTGTAGAGATGACTTTGAAATAAAATCTAAAACACATTAAACAAGAAAATCGATATCTAGAAAAAATGAGACTTGCTTAAGAACATACCTCTAGTTAGTGGCAAATCTGTGATGCAAATCCAGATCTTCAAACTTTATTTTTTTATTTTTATTTTTATTTTTTAATGTTTATTAATTTTTGAGGGAGAGAGGGAGACAGAATCTGAAACAGGCTCCAGGCTCTGAGCTGTCAGCACAGAGCCCGATGCAGTGCTCAAACTCACAAACCACGAGATTATGTCCTGAGCCGAAGTTGGACGCTTAACTGACTGAGTCGCTCAGGTGCCCCAAGATTTTCAAACTTTAAATCTTATAATCATCTACTCCAGGCTATCCATCTGTGCTAATTGAATCCTATACTTCATTTCTTAATATGTTTATTTGCTTGTTGAGAAATGATGGCAAGAAAACAAAGATATCCACAAATGGTTGTGTCTAAGACACCTTCTTTTGAAGTGATGAATGTATGCTCTTTGCTCAGTCTGTCTTATCTATCTATCTGTTTATTGAGAGAGAGAGAGAGAGCGAGCAGGGAAGGGGCAGAGAGAGGAGAGAGAGAGAATCCCAAGCAGGCTCTGCACTGTCTTAACTGACTCAGCCACCCAGGTGCTCCCAGTCTTTTTATATATACATAATATTTCATTTATTTTCCATTATGAAGCATAAATTTGGGGAGCAGTAATTATAGTTAGAATTTTTGTCAAGGGGGCGTCTGGCTGGAGTGGGTAGAGCATGTGACTCTTGATCTCAAGGTTGTGAGTTCAAGCCCCATGTTTGGTATAGAGATTACTTAAAATCTTAAAAGAAAAAAAAGAATTTTAGTTAAGGAGTAAAATAGTCACAGCTCACAAACTATATGACCATATCACATTCTAATCAGCTGAATATAGGTCTAGCAAGATTCCTGGCACATGCAGAGGGTATTAAGGAGTCTGTATTGCAGACTTGATTGACGTACTGTGCTTCTTAAGTAGAAAGATTTGCCATACTAATACCTGAAAGAATGATAAGTTATAGGCAATCTGATGTTTTTGTGTAGAATAATCATGTCAGCACAATTTATATGTTGTAATACAGGGATTTAAAGTAAAAATATATATCTACATGTGTAATATGAAACATGATATAAAGAGTACATTTAACATATCTTAAACATTTAGGATTTTTCTTTTTTTAGGCTCATATTATTTTTTCAGTAGAATTTTTTTCCTAAATAAAATTGGTCTTTGATCTGTATCAACATTTTTGACATGTTTGATAGTATATTCATTTTTTTCTAGTAATGCTAAAAGAACTAAAAGACTGGTAAATTTGAGTAGGTAGTGTATATGATACTAAATTACGGGTTAGAAAGACTTTAGCTTATCAATATTTGAAGATGTTAGTATTTTATGTTTTGCAGTGGACAAATTGCCTCCAAGTTTTAATCTGGAAAAGGTTTACAACTACATGGCTTTTATATTTTTACTACTTCTATTAGAGTTTCTATACAAATTATTCAAATCTTGATTATAAAAGAGAAGATGAAAGTGTAAACACATTATTCAAACAGCATGAAGAATATCACTACCATGTTGTTTCTCAGTTTTATTCAGTCATAAATGCAAAGCAGAAGTATGTAACATGTCATTGGATTTTATTTTGCTTTACTAGCTCCTCAAGAGTTACTGATCTATGAAATGGCAGAGAATGGAAAAAATTGTGACCAGAGACGTGTAGCAATGAACAAGGAACAATATAATGGAAACTTCACAGGTATGGTGATTTGGAGAGAGAAGATCTACAGGTTTAAATGATATCCTTTTCAGTGGAGTAAAATAGAAATATATCTAATATTTACTGTCTTTTGTTAATATATGATAAGTATGTGAGATTCTTATATATTTTATGTAACATTACAGAAATCCCCCCTGCCTCTTATCTGTGTTTTGTTTTTCCACAGTTTCAGTTCCCCATGGCCAACTGCAGTCCAGAAACAGAATGATCTATTGTCAGAACATCAGTAATAGCCTAATGCCACATCACAATGCCTACATCATTCACTTCACTTCATCTTATCACATAAGCATTTTATCATCTCACATAATCTCAAGAAGAAGGACAGTACAATAAGATATTTTAAGAAAGTTACATTCATATAACTTTTATTAAACTATATTTTTATAATTATTTTATTATTGGTTATTGCTCTCAATCTTACTGTGTCGAATTTATAAACTTTAGCATAACTATGTAGATATAGGAAAAAACATAGTTACATATAGAATTCAGTACTCTCTGGTTTCAGGCATCCACTGGGCATCTTAGAACATGTCCCCTACGGATGAGGGGGGGACTACAGTAATTATCTTTTTTTACCCCTCTTAGTAAATGAAATTTTATGGGTCCAGGCCTATACGGTGAATTTTCACAGTGATAGCAGAAGCAGCCTAGCCATAGTTTCATCACCAGTGTTCTGGGTACAAGGTTATTATTTGTTAATCTTATGCTGTGGTCAGTATTTATTTGGCTTTGTTTGGTGCTCAGTGTTATCATGCTATTTTGTAACTTTAGAAGTAGATTGTAAATTTACTTATTACACTAATCCTAAATGTACAATTATCAAAAAGTCAATGTGATTATTGTGAGTGTATTTTATTTCATTTTAAATGTTTTTTTTTTTATTCATTTTTGAAAGAAGACAGAGAGAGACAGAGCGTGAGCAGGGGAGAGGCAGAGAGAGAGGGAGACACAGAATCTGAAGCAGGCTCCAGGCTCTGAGCTGTCAGCACAGAGCCCGATGTGGGGCTTGAACCCACGGACCGTGAGATCATGACCTGAGCTGAAGTCGGACGCTTAACTGACTGAGCCATTCAGGCGCTCCTATTGTGGGTTTATTTTAAAATTTTCATTTGCAACAAATAAATTTATACTTTAACCAAATTTGGAATTTGTAGTAAATTTCAGTATATTTAACACTTATTCAAACATTTAAAAAAACAATAATAATAATAAAAGGCCCTGAAAGCCCTGAAACTATGGCTTTTATTTATATAGATGGTTAAAGTAGGAACTTTCCTTCATGTGTTTAAAGGAAATGAAGGCTTTTTCACTTCTGTTAATTATAATGGTTTTCTTCTTGATTTGTAGTTGTTTGACATCTTAAACATACTGCAAATAATATTCCAGCATGGTAATATTCTATTATAGAAATTCTCTTACATTGGAAGAAGTGCAAGCTATCTGAAATAGTAGTTTCTGTGTTTTGATCACTACATTGCCTTGCAGGGCACATTTTGCAGCACTTATCTGACTTTCAGGTTACTCTGATTATTGATAAATTTTATATCATTGCACCAAAAATTTCAGGATGTAGAGATAAGCATGCATATGTCATAGTCTCTTCACATTAGTGTGAAGTAACTTCACAATAGTAGCTTTTGCATGTTGTTTTTTCTTTCCTTTCTCTCAATAAGCATGTACATTTATATATTCTTCCCCTGCCGCCTAACCCCTTGGAATTTAAAATTAATGTCAGTATGACACACTTACTGTCCTGTACTGTGGTATTTTTTAACTTTGTATTTCCTAGAGATTGTGCTATAACTGTAGTCTTCATTATGGCTGCTTAGTATTCCATTGTATCAGTATACATACTTTAACCATTCCTCTGTCTTCGGTTAACATTTAGGTTGTTTATAATTTTTTGCCAAGACAAGTAACACTGCATTGAATAAACTTGTACAAAAGACATATCACATCATACCTAATCATTCTTAGAAATGGGATTATTGGGTTATAGGGTATGTGCATTTGTAATTTTGATAATAACTTTGTACACTTACTAAGTGTCAGAGTCTTCTGAGAGCTTCACATATATTAACTCATTTAATCTTTGTGATGACCCTAAAGAAGTTAAGTACTATGTTCATCTTCATTTCAGAAAAGAAAAAACTGAGAGATAGAAGGGTTAACTAACTTGCCTGCTGTCTCATGACTTGTAGGCAAGATTTGGAACCAAGTAGTTTGCCGTCCCATTTTGAGCTCTAAACCACTTTGCTCTGTGATGTGATACTAAATCACCTTTCATGGAAGGTGGGCTAACTTAGTATCCCAGTAGTGTACAAGAAAAGTAACTTGTGTCCTGACAATAATTGCTAAAATAGTCCTCAGAGCAGAGCAGAGCAGAATCACCTAACCCAGACGTATCATAACGTGAATCACATTGCTTATTTTTTGAGGTTTGTATGCAGTCCTTCAAATGTGATATGGGAAAGTAGGTGAATTTTTAAAGTGATTAGGAAAAGCGAACATTCTCTTTTAACTTCTGCCCTAATGTTTTTCAGACCCTTCTTCAATGAATGAAAAGAAGAGGAGGGATCGGGAAGAGAGGCAGAATATTGTCCTGTGGAGACAGCCACTCATTACCTTGCAGTATTTTTCTCTGGAAATCCTAGTAATCTTGAAGGAATGGACCTCAAAGTAAAGAGTCGTCCATTACCTTTTAAATAAATTTTATTTAGTAATTTTAGAAATCTTTAACAATCTCCTACTCTCTACCTCCTGCTTTTTCCATATGAATTAGTTAAATTTATTTATTTTTGTTTTTTATTTTTTTAACATTTTTATTTACTTTTGAGAGAGACAGAAACAGAATGTGAGTGGGTTAGGGGCAGAGAGAGAGGGAGACACAGAAGCAGAAGCAGGCTTCAGGCCCTGAGCTGTCAGCACAGAGCCTGACGTGGGGCTCGAACTCATGAGCTGTGAGATCATGACCTGAGCCAAAGTTGGATGCTCAACCGACTGAGCCACCCAGGCGCCCCAAAATTTAGAATGTTTTAGGAATATATTTATTTTCCTTTCTATAGTTTCAAGAAAAATAGGGAACACACTGCTATTTGCTCACTAGATTATTGCAATTGACTTCTGTCTCATGTTGAATCTTTTACACAAAGGATAACATAGGAAACAAGATTTTTTTCTTCTGGCTTTACCTTTAAGAGAACTTAGGCCTGTGTACACTAGACACACTGAATCTTTAGTAGGACAGAGTTCAGGATACATGGCACTTTTACTGACAGTTTCAGCCAGTGAAAGAGGACTCTGCCCTGGAAATGTGTTGTATCTTTAAATTTAGTACTTATCAGGCCTGTTTCAGATATCATAAAGAACAAGTTGAACTTTTACATGCCTTATCATTTTGAGCTTGGTTTCCAAATTATTATTATTATTATTATTTTATTATTATTTTTTTTTAAAGAGAAAGAGCATGGATACAAGTTGGGGAGAGGGGCAGAGGGAGAGGGAGAGATTCCCAAGTAGTCTCTATGTTCAGTGTGGAGCCCAACGCAGGGCTTGATTCCATGAGCCTGGGATCATGACCTAAGCCAAAATCAAAAGCCAAATGTTCAACTGACTGAGCCACCCAGGTGCCCCATCTTTTTTTGTTTTTTAATTATTACTATTTTTTAATTTGCATCCTAGTGAGTTAGCATATAGTGCAATAATGATTTCAGGAGTAGAATCCAGTGATTCATCCCCTGCATATAACACCCAGTGCTTATCTCAACAAGTATCTTCCTTTTTTTTTTTTTTTTAAATACATTTATTCATTTTTGAGAGACAAGACAGAATGTGAGTGGGAGAGGGGCAGAGTGAGGAAGACACAGAATCTGAAGCAGGCTCCATGCTTTGAGCTCTCAGCACAGAGCCTGATGGGGGGCTTGAACTCACAGACTGGGAGATCATGACCTGAGCTGAAGTCAGACGCTTAACTGACTGAACCACCTAGGCACCCCACCAACACGTATCTTCCTTAATGCCGCTTGCCTGTTTGGCCCATCCCTCCACCCATAACCCCTCCAACAACCCTCAGTTTGTTCTCTATATTTAAGAGTCTCTTATGTTTTGTCCCATCCCTGTTTCTATATTATTTTTGCTTCCCTTCCTTTATGTTCATCTGTTTTGTATCTTAAATTCCACATGAGTAAAGTCATATATTTGTCTTTCTCTGACTGATTTTGCTTAGCAAAAATCTCTGACTTATATACTCTAGTTCCATCCACAATGTTGCAGATGGCAAGATTTCATTGCTTTTGATCGCTGAGTAATACTCCATTGTATATGTATATCACATCTTCTTTACCCATTCCTCTGTCATGGACATTTGGGCTCTTTCCATACTTGGGCTGTTGTTCATAGTGCTGCATGGGGTGCATGTGTGCCTTGGAAACAGCACACCTGTATCTTTTGGATAAATACCTAGTGATGCAATTGCTGGGTCGTAAGGTAGTTCTATTTTTAATTTTTTGAGGACCCTCCATACAATTTTCCAGAGTTGCTGCACTAGTTTACATTCCCACCAGCAGTGCGAAAGGCTTCCTCTTTCTCCGCATCCTTGCCAACAACTGTCGTTGCCTGAGTTGTTACTTTTAGCTATTCTGACAGGTATGAGGTGATATCTCATTGTGGTTTTGATTTGTATTTCCCTGATAATGATTTGAGCATTTTTTCATGTGTCTGTTAGCCATCTGGATGTCTTCTTTGGAGAAGTTTCTATTCATGTCTTTTGCCCATTTCTTTACTGGATGGTTTATTTTTTGGGTGTTGAGTTTGGTAAGTTCTTTATAAATTTTGGATACTAACCCTTTATCTGATATGTCATTTGCAAATATCTTCTCCCATTCTGTTGGTTGCCTTTTAGTTTTGCTGATTGTTTCCTTTGCTGTGCAGAAGCTTTTTATCTTGATGAGGTCCCAGTAGTTCATTTTTGCTTTTGTTTCCCTTGCTTCCGGAGACATGTTGAGTAAGAAGTTGCTGTGGCCGAGGTCAAAACAGTTTTTGCCTGCTTTCTCCAGGAGGATTTTGATGGCTTCCTTTCTTACATTTAGGTCTTTGATCCATTTTGAGTTTATGTTTGTGTATGGTGTAAGATAGTGAAGTGTTCCAGGTTCATTCTTCTGCACGTTGCTGTCCAGTTTTCCCAGCACCACTTGCTGAAGAGACTGTCTTTATTCCATTGGATATTCTTTCCTGCTTTGTCAAAGATTAGTTGGCCATACGTTTGTGGGTCCATTTCTGGATTCTCTATTCTGTTGCATTGATCTAAGTATTTTTATGCCAGTACCATACTGTCTTGATGATTACAACTTTGAAGTCTGGAATTGTGATGCTTTCAGTTTCGGTTTTCTTTTTCAGGTTGCTTTGCCTACTATTCGGGGTCTTTTCTGGTTCCATACAAATTTTAGGATTGTTTGTTCTAGCTCTGAGAAGAATGCTGGTATTGTTTTGATAGGGATTGCATTGAATATGTAGATTGCTTTGGGTAGTATCAACATTTTAACAATATTTGTTCTTCCAGTCCATGAGTATGGAATATTTTTCCATTTTTTTGGTATGTCTTCTTCAATTTCTCATAAGCTTTCAATCGCTTTCAGTGTATAGCTTTTTCACCTCTTTGGTTAGGTTTATTCCTAGGTATTTTATGGTTTTTGGTGCAGTTGTAAATGGGATCAATTCCTTGATTTCTCTTTCTGCTTCTTCATTATTGGTGTTTAGAAATGCAGCCGATTTCTGTGCATTGATTTTATATCCTGCGACTTTGCTGAATTCATGGATCAGGTCTAGCAAGTTTTTGGTGGAATCTTTTGGGTTTTCCATATAGAGTATCCTGTCATCTGCAAAGAATTTTCTCAAGTTTGACTTCCTCCTTGCCGAGTTGGATGCCTATATTTTTTTTTAACTTAAGTAAACTGTACACCCAACGTGAAGCTCAAACTCACAGTCCTGACATCACGACATGCTCCACTGACATGCTCCACTGACAGAGTCAGCTGAATGCCCCAAGTTATTATTTTTAATAGTATCTTACATTTTTATTGTACATACAGTTTATTAAACATTTTGTAATATTTTTCAGTTCATTTGATCCCTAAAGCAACTCTGTGAAAGCAGTAAAACAAGTTTATGATTACAGTTGACCCTTGAATGACATGGGGATTAGGGGTGTCAATACCCACACAGTTGAAAATCCGTGTGTAAATTTTGACTCCTAGAAAACTTAACTAGTAATAGCCTACTTTTAAAAAAAAAAATTTTTAATGTTTATTTTTGAGAGAGAGAGAGAGAGAGAGAGGTGGGGGAGGGGCAGAGAGAAATGGAGACAGAGAATCCAAAGCAGGCTCTTCACTGTTAGTGCAAAGCCCGACGTAGGGCCCGAACCCATGATCTGTGAGATCATGACCTGAGCCGAAGTTGGATGCTCTGCCGAGCCACCCAGGCACCCCAGTAATAGCCTACTTTTGACCAGAAGCCTTTGTACCTTATATGTATTATATACAATATTCTTACAATATAGTAAGCTAGGGAGAAGAAAATGTTATTAAGAAAATCATAAGGAAGAGAAAATACACTTACAGTACTGTACTGTAAAAAATCCACATGTAGTCCCTGCACTGTTCAGACCCATATTGTACAAGGGTCAACTGTATTATGATTTTATTTTGTTTTATTTTTATTTTTATTTAGTTGTAAATGTTTATTTATTTATTTTAAAAGAGAGAGAGGAGAAGGGCAGAGAGACAGGGAGAGAGAATCCCAGTCAGGCTTTGCACTGACAGCAAGGAGTCCAGTGCAGGGCTCGATCCCACAAACAGTGAGATTATGACCTGAGGGAAAACCAAGAATCTGATACTTAACCAACTGAGCCACCCAAGCACCCCAACTGTATTATGATTTTAAAAATAAGACATAGAATCAGATTGGTTAAACATCTTACTCAAAGTGTAATACTTAGGGACTCTGATCCAGGTCCTCTAACTTGAAGGCCAGCGCTCTTTTCATTATATATATATTTCATTATATTAGATCAGTCTTTTGGGTAAGGGAAAGGTTACCATAGGGTTTATGATAAAAAAACATTGGGTGTTCTATACTATGTATCTGCTCTTGGCCTCCTTCTGTACCCTAAGAGACCATCATGTTTAAGGACAAGAGTTTAACCCCAGAAAGCATTCTGTAGCTGTGCTAAACAACCTAAGTGCTTCAACAAGAAATTGTTTTGGGAGTGCTGAATCCTAAAAATGAGACTGTGAGATATTTCATTTATTTTTGTTTTTAAGATTATGGCATCGTCAAAGCATTGTGGTATCTTTTTTATTGCTGCTTGCTGTACTTATAGCTACGTATTGTGTTGAAGGAGCACATCAACAGGTAAGAGGTTCAGCAACTCTTTCTATTCCCTTTTATTTGTTTTTTTTTTAATGATTGTTTTGAGAGAGAGAGAGCACCAGCCAGGGAGGGGCAGAGAGAGGGAAAAAGAGAATCCCAAGCAGGCATCACACTGCCGGCACAGAACCTGGCACGGGGCTCAATGTCACAACTGTGGGATCATGACTTGAGCCCAGATCAAGCGTCAGACGCTTAACCGACTCAGCCATCTAGACACCCCTGTGTTTCTATTCTTGTACCCTCCCTAATCCCAAACAGTTTCAAAATGGGACTGTTGTGGATTTGATAAAATTTCTGCCCTCCACATTTTTAGATTTGGTTTTGTTTTTTACATTTATATCATAAATGATATCTTAATGTCTTAAAAGATCAAATATTAAAAATATTGTGGCATTTCATGGCTGCTGAGCATTTATATTTGGCATATATCATTTCTTTTTATTTTCAAGGATTCAAATGTAACTTTCCTGATGGTGTTTAGTCAAAACTTTGGTTAAAAATAGCAAAACATTAATGTATTCTAATAGGAAATGGTTCTAAAGTAGTATTGTTTTATATTTTATTTATTTATTTATTTATTTTTATAATTAAATTTTTTTTTCAACGTTTTTTATTTATTTTTGGGACAGAGAGAGACAGAGCATGAACGGGGAGGGGCAGAGAGAGAGGGAGACACAGAATCGGAAACAGGCTCCAGGCTCCGAGCCATCAGCCCAGAGCCCGACACGGGGCTCGAACTCACGGAGCGCGAGATCGTGACCTGGCTGAAGTCGGACGCTTAACCGACTGCGCCACCCAGGCGCCCCTTGTTTTATATTTTAAAACAGTTCACCTCTAATTTCAGAGAAGTTTTTATAGTTTTAAATGCATTCCTTTTAACTATTTTGAAGAAATATATGTATGCCATTAAGAGTTTGTAAGGAACTGGTTTGAAGAATTTAATTGCCAGTGTGAGAGTCTAGAATCTAATATGTGGAATGCTTCCAACAAGTCCATAGCTCGGTGGACTTCAGTTTGCTCTTGTTTGAAAAGCATCTCAGTCTTAAATATACAAAAATAATTGTATTCTGTTTTTGTACTTTGATTAAGAAGAATATATTCCATTCACAAATATGTGAACAACTGTCCCACTCTTACCACTGTTTATTATGATGCTTTCTTAAAGTTTTTGTAACTTTTAAATACCTTCAAAACTTTTATTCTCATAGTTAAATCATATTAGTAATTTGCATTTTTCCTATAAATGTCATTCACAATAGGAGGACTTTAAAGGTCTAAAAACAAGATCTGTATTCTAATTAGATGAATTTTTTGTCTCTCTGCTGTCACATATACGAGGAATTAGGCCTCTTCAAGGAATTTTTATTCTTAATGCTTTCTTCCTATTAGAAACTTACTTTAGTTGGTTTGTTTTAGTTTGATTGTAGGTGATAAATAATGTATTTTTGCTTAACAAGTTTTTTTTCCCCCCCACTGCGTCCATTTTGTTTTTCAGTATGTGCAACGTATAGAGAAACAATTTCTCTTGTATGCCTACTGGATAGGCTTAGGAATTTTGTCTTCTGTTGGGCTTGGAACAGGGCTGCACACCTTCCTCCTTTATCTGGTAAGAATAACTTTTAATAAGCAAGATTGAAAGAGATGTTTTAATTGGTGCTTGAGGAATTAAAATTCTAAGATTTTTAGTTATCTACCTTTGCATTTTAGAAGCACTCTAATCCTCAAATCAGTGTTTTTAAGTTTGATTTAGAATTGTTTTGTTTTTCCTTTTGGGTTGAGGATTTAAAAAGAGAAGAGGGAAAAACCCTTGGGCAATTGAGATTGTTCACTTAATTCAGCCAGGAAATGTTCCTTCCAGGTTTTGGAATAATGGTTCTTTTGCTTATGCAATGGTCATTTTAATAGCTGAAGTTCTTTAAATGTACAAGATTTCATGTAAGGCTTAGAATTAATTTGAACAGTTTGCTTTCTCTGTTAATCAGCAAATGAGAAATGGTGTCTTCCCTCATGTTCTCAAGTACCACATGCATACACCTGGATAGTCATTTTTGGTATTCTTACTGAATGTAATATATAACACATGTCGAACTGAAAGCTTTCTTAAATCCTTTTAAATCAAAGTATTAAATGTACCCCTCCTCAAAAATACTGTTTTACTTAGTTGAAAATGGGGAGATAAAAGATAGGTCATGTAAGTATGGACTTGAGGAGTGAGTGCTCATCAGATTTTGTGCCCTGGATTCCTCTCTTGTTTCACTCTATTCCTTTTGCTGAGGAATTGAAAACAATTCCATATTTGAAAAAAGCCTGATCTTGATTAGGGCAAGACAGGTGAAAAGTTGTCACAGCAGTACTGATTCCTGAATAAAGTTCAACACAGCAAACATTTCCAATCTTTATGTTTCAATGAATTCATTTCAGAAGCAGATATGGTAAGTATTAAGGAATGATTGTTCAGAAGGCTGCTAAATTAATGGTCTGAAGAATAATTTGAGAATCTATAATTCATAACTTCTCCAAGTTTATGGGAGTTTAAAATCTGGAATTTTAGAATTCTGTTCATGATTGCTCGCTGATTTAATCCCAAATAGGGAAATAATCCCAGAGAACTAATCCATATCAGTGTTTCTTTAATAACTAAATTCTTAGACATATAATACTATATTTGAGGTTGAGGGAGAGGAGAAAAGAAGAAATTAGAGGTTATAGGTTACCAGTCTGTTCTTTTCTAAACCTTTCTTCTGAGATTCTTTGGGAAAACCAGATTAAGGAACTAATTTGTAGCACTGGATTAATTTAGAAGTATCTAAAAAGCAACCCAGGTAGCAGATTCTGCTGAATCTTAAAAGTGATTCTAATGAAATGTAGAAATTGCACAATAAGTTAGGGTAAAGAAATTTGAAACAAGGAAGTTATATGTTTCCTGTTTCTTTTCATATCCATGAGAAACCTTTATAAGGTGACATTTATAAAATGTCGTGATGTGAAAACATTATTATTTTAGTTCCATTGATATCCAGTAAAGGTTTTAGAAACATACAAATAATCAATAATTATTATAAAATTCATTTGAGTGAAAAAATCAAGTCTTTGCTTCCATAAATTAACTAGTTACTTCTGCTGGGGGATCAGAGTGCAGATTTAATGGAATGTGGTTAGACTTTTCACAAGTGTAGAAGAAACTCTTCAATAGCTATTTGAGGGAAGGTATTATACTCTCTCATTAAAGTAAATACTATATATATTAGTTCAGCAAGTATGAAGATTTAATTAGGGAACATCTGAAACTGTTGCATTATAGGTAAGAGCTGTATAAAAGTTTTGTGGCATTATCACTGATGATAATAAACTGGAGTGCAGAGTGGATCAGGCCACTTTTTTCAGCACTAAATAAATTTGATTTTTGTTTGTGAGTAGCGTTTAGAATTACTTTAAATGCGCTAAAATTAAATACAAGTAAAATAACCAGATCTGCATTTTAAACATATGATATTGGCTGTAGTGTGGGAGATAGATTGAAAATGGGAGAGAAAGAAGATGGGCAGTTATGATAATCCTTCTGAAAGACACAGGCTTCCATGGAGGTAGCAGGCAGCATGGAGAGGAGGGGATATTTACAAAAAAGAATTTGCAGAGAGCAATCAAGTGGAATGAAAACAAAAGATGCCATAAATTTTAAATATTTCAGAAGAGTGGTTGGAGTGGCAACAGCATTGGGATGGAACGGGACAAATCTTAGAGAAATTTTACTAGTATAATTACAAAGATGTTATGGTTTAATTATGGGGAAAGGAGCCAAAGGTAATTGTTGGTTTTTTACTTGAGTTGATACCACTAACTGAATAGAAAACAGTTTTATATTCAGTTGTTTATTGAGTACATATTATAAGTATCTGAAAAAAGAAATTTAAAAGGATGTTATAATTATCTTGCAAGGTACATGAGATTTTCACCTGATCCAGGTGGGTTGCTGGTGCAAGTGGTTGGACAGAAAGAAGGGAAATTTGTAAAGGACTAAGAATTCTTTCTTTCTTTCCCTTCTTTTCTTCTTCCTCTTCCTTTTTCTTTTCCTTTTCCTTTCTTTCCCTTCTTTCTGGCTTTATTTTTAGACCAGTTTTAGGGTTGCAGAAAAATTGAGGAAAAAAAAAAGTTTCCACGTACCATTTTATACACACACACAGGTTCTCCTGTTTTTTGTTGTTGTTGTTTTCTATTGAGGTATAATTGATATAAAATATTATATTAGTTTCAGATGTATAACATAACGATAGTTTCCCTATTATTAACATCTTACTTTGGGGTGGTACCCTTGTTACAATTGAGAAGCCAGTATCGATACATTATAAACTAAAACCTGTTATTAGTATTAGAGTTCACTTTGTTTTACAGTTCTGTGGGTTTTGACAAATACATAATGTTTTGTACCCCCCATTATAGTATCATATGGAATAGTTTTACTGCCCTAAAAATTGCCTCTGTTCTACCTATTTATCCTGCCTTCCACCTCCCCTCTACCAGTGAAACCTTAGTAAACACTGATCCTTTTATTGTCTCTATAAGTTTTGGCTTTTCCAAAATGTCGTGTAGTTGGGTTTATATATGTCTTTTTTCACCTGATAGTCAATAACCAATAGGGTAGCAGATGTGGAAGAAAAAAATTCATCAATAAGACTGTCCACTTGTAAACTTTGGCATTCTAGAACAGAGAAAAATAGCCAGGAAACCAGAAGCAAAGCAGAATCAAATAAAGGTTTAAAATTTGATCTGTGGAATGTCTGGATGGCTCAGTAGGTTGAGCATCCAACTTCGGCTCAGGTCGTGATCTCACAGTTCATGAGTTTGAGCCCTGCGTTCGACTCTGTGCTGACAGCTCAGAGCCTGGAGCCTGCTTCGGATTCTGTGTCTCCCTGTCTCTCTGCCCCTCCCCTGCTCACGCTCTGTTTCGAAAATAAATAAACAGTAAATAATAATAAAATAAAAAAAAATTTGATCTGTGATATTTAAGAAGCTATTCTAAATAATTTGTTATATATATATATATATATGTATATTTTTTGAAGTTAATCTTGAGAGACAGAGTGAGTGGGGGAGGGCAGAGGGGGAAGGTAGAGAGAGAATCCCAAGCCTATTTAAAGTTTATTTTTATTTATTTTGAGAGAGAATGAGAGCGGGGAAGGGGCAGAGAGAGAGAGGGAGGAGACAGAATCCCAGGCAGTTGTCAGTGTGGAGCCCTATGGGCGCCCAAACCCATGAACCACAGGATCAATGACCTGAACTGAAATCAAGTGTTGGATACTCAACTGACTAAGCCACCTGGGTGTCCCTATTTTAAAAACTTAACATTTTCTTGGTGACAGATGGTCAACAGAGTTTATCCTTATAGATGGCCACTCCTTTTGCTTTGTATCTGTGAAATGTAATTGTGTTTGGAAAGTCCTAATTATACCTCCCTTCATTTATGAGCCTTTATTCTCACTTAGGGATGTGATATTAACATTCTAATGTCATATATTTTTGTACCAATGAAACTGGCACATTTTCCATATACAACATGTAACTCCTCAGGCAAGAAAACAAGTGACCATGTTAGGAGAGTAATGCAGTCAGAAATTTAACTATCCTTTTGATAATAATTTGTGGTAAAATAGATGAAAAAGAAACCAAATTTAACAAAAGGAAAAGATTTAATTCATTCTTCATTACAGTACTCTTTACTGGAAGTCATGGCTTAAAAATGAACTAGAAAAATTTTTCCTAAATAGACAAAATTTCCCAATTAGATTCTTCTCAATATGGAAATTACCTCTTTTGGAAGTTTCACTTAGTTCATTATAATTCATTGTACAACTAAATGATCATCTCAAAGGGTTACTATATTTCCTAGAATATTAGATACTTGTCTGTCTGCCCTTAAAATTGAAAAATTGTTTTGGGGTGTCTGGCTTGCTCAGTTGGTAGAGCATGCGACTCTTGATCTCAGAATCATGAATTTGAGCCCCACGTTGAGCATGGAGCCTACTTAAAGTTTAAAAAAATAATAAAATGGAGAAACAGTCTTGATTTATAAGTTTGTCAGTAAACAATTTATTTATATTTTAGATATATTTGAAAAGTTATAACTTAATTCCGATGCCCTGAAAGTCCTCATTACTTCCAACATCAGAAGTAAAAATAGTTGTTTGATCCACATTAAATTTAATGAAAATCAATAGGGAAAAATGACTAGTTTGGGCTACCATCAAATTTTGTAAACTGATTTGAAAACAGTGGAAATCTAGTAGTTTTCAGAGAACATGTATCTAGCCACAAAGGAGAAGTTAGATGCTATTTATGTAGGAATAATGATTACTAACCAGAGAGTAAGGGAAGGGAAAGTGAATGGATTTTTTTCTCAAGGGTCAAGGGAGGTTAGTTGTGCCTCTGAGTTAGTTGGTTTGTTCCATTAATTGTAATAGTCAACAAATGGGCTTCAAGAGGTCTGTCTGTTAATTTCCTGAAACACTATACATGTTGTTATGTGTCTACAAAATATGCATCTTTCTGGCAAAAAGGACTTCTAAGATTCTCCAAAGACTAATGCATAGCAACTTAAGAACCATTCTTCTA